AATGTGCCTCAATGTACCTAGCCTTGTTCAAAAATCCTCTTTTACTTAAGAGAGGTTCTATTATACCTTTAGAATGGAGGTAAAGATGATTATTAGATTGAAATAAATCCTGTGTTACATATTTACTTTTTAGATTACCAAGGTAGAATCCTGTCATGTTCATATAGAACATGTCACCAAAGTTTAAAACCTTAGAATTGTGAAATTTCATTGGGTCAAAAGCCAAAAAGGTAAAACACAATAGCAACATGTCTTCAAGGATTAACCCATTTTTCTTTTTATCTTAACCCTCTGGAAGGTGCTAGAAGAAGTTTTGTATTTTGAAAGGGATTTACTATGTTCTGCCCTTGGAGAGTAGCCAGTACTATCAATCATGCTGGAAAAGGATGTGGGAGCACTTCAACTTCCTTTGATTTCTCTGAGTTTGACTGGTCAGGAATTTGGGGGCAGAATAAGGGAAATGATTTACAAACAGCATTTACTAAGGACCTTTTCACTCCTTGCCTTGAAGGTACCTCAGTTCAAGTTTCAACAACTATGTAATGTTTCACTGGCTGGTGCAGAGACTTCATGTGTTAACCCTAAATTCTTGCCTCGCTCTTGAGCCAATAGCACTCTCACCTATGACCTCATTAATGACATGACTTCCTGGAAATAATCCTTTCTTCCCAGGGCTCTGCAGAATCACAAACACTGAAGTGGTAACCCATATGTTGCAATGCCAAATAAAACCTAAATTCTAGTGGGGAGAACAGAGCTTGCTCATATAATAGCCTATAAACAAATTAGTGCTAATAAGAGGTTTAAGGCTTCCCTTCTCGGTGGTTGTTTTTCCAATGCCCAAAGAAAGGTATTTGCCCTTCTCTGGGAGGAAATCAGTGCTTACCCTTTCCCTTCAAGTAACTACTACCTGGAGTAGCCACATATGATTGGTTTTTATGTATATGAGAGAGATGCTACAGTATATTTGTCTGACTTCATGAGCATATTTTCCTGGGGTATCCACCTGTGGTATTTATTTCCTTTTAGATGAGGCTCTTGTTACCTTGACTTACTACCCTTGGTCTTAGCCAAAGGCCAAGAAGTGATCTTGTTATCTTGACTTACTAAAATGAAAATAAAAAATAACCCTCATTCTATTTACTTTTTCTCCTACATTGACTTTATTTGATATGTCTGTTCTTAGGATTGTATGTCCATGAAAAGTGGCTAGATCTCTACATTATAGAGGTAGACTTAGTGGTAAAAGCATAAGAAGAAAGGGTAGAGTCCATAAAGTCAATTAAACTTTGGTCTGTCAGAATAGCTATGTGTTTCACTCTTGCCTAAACATCTCTGACAGAGCAGGAGAGGTACAATAAATATGTTGATTGCCACATCACCCTATTTTTTACAAAGACTGTACGATCAACCTTTATAAAGAAGATAAACTCTTAAAAGATGGGAGATAGAAATGTAGCTGTTGGGATATATGTGACTACAAAATAAGTCCAGCACTTGAAAGAAATTAAATAACCAATATAAAATACACTAGTAAGCTTAACTTCAGAATTTTTTCCTAAACTGGAATATCATTTGTCACTGCAGGATGAAACTGTTGCTTGCATAACTACAGCCATTGATACTGCAGTGGAACCAGATGCGGTAAGTAATTGGTGCCTTTGTGTAGAACCAGGAGATTTAACTGTGACATGCACTACAGTTTATAACTCAGCTAAGGAAGAGGATCTCTGATTGCTACTATCCTCGACAGAATGTCCTGGAAATCCAGAAATCTTGAGTATAAATCTCTGCTTTGTAAAAACCCCCAATGTGGATAGGCTCTCTCTCTCTCTAGTAGCTAGTAAGGGTGGCAGGGTTTCTCGGGGATATCATGTTCCATTTTTGTAGTATGACTTACTGATTTCTTGTTAGATGCTAATACTCTGCATCAACTGTCTAGCAAGTAAAAATAAATTAGGAAATTATGGAAAAATCAAAAATGCTTAAGAGAAGAAATGGAAGAATTTTTTTTTCTCAGCATAGAACTTCTCTAGGGATGAGATGGCTAGGAGCTAAAAGAACCAAAGAGTGTTTAAGTTTCAAGAATAGATAAAATGTATCAGATGTTGGCTAAAGGTTATAAAATTAATTTTTTTTCTTCTGGCTTATTTCACTGAGCATAATTCCTTCTAGCTCATCCACGTTGCTGCGAATGGCATGAGTTTATCTTTTTTGATTGCTGAATAATATTCCATTGTGTATATCTACCACATCTTCTTGATCCAGTCATCTGTTTTTGGGCATTTGGATTGTTTCCAGGTTTTACCTATTGTAAATAGTGCTGCAATAAACTCTATGGGGACTGCACCTGAAGGGGTAGGGGGAGGAAAATATTGTTTAAAAATGAACAATGATGTAAGAAAATAAAATAATAATAATTTTAAAAATCAAAATATATAAAAAATATTATAAAATTAAAATGAAAGGCTGTACAAAGGTTTGCTTGAAACAGCTTTTACCCCTAAAATATGTATCATTTTTCACATTCTGAAAGAAGAAAGATGGGGGGCATAAATCAGATTCTAGAAGTCAGCTCTGTGAGAATAAATGGAGCCTTTTCTCCATTTCACCCATTCCTACAGTGCCATTTCTAGGGCCCTCTCTCCTCTAAATATCCCTTAGAATGAGGTAAAATAAATGTTGCTGAGATCAATGAAGGAAAGAGCAAGAACTTAGTTTGCACTAAAATAGTTAAAGTATATGAGAAATAAGGTGCTTGTAGAGCAGAATAATAGGCTAGCTCGAGTTATTTCAAATGTTTAAACTTTCTTTTTTTTTTTTTTTTTTTTTTTTTTTAGAGGCATGTTTTTATTTATTTATTATATTGTTTGTTTATACATGCACCTGGTACAGTCAGAAGCGCGGGAGGGTGAAGAGATTCACGGAGCCAGAGCGGGGAGCAGAGCAGGCAGAAGGACCGAAGGACACTGCTGGGGGGAGCAGCGGGTGGCAGGGGAGGTCTGCGCACCATGTGGGATCCTCCTCCGGTGGCCGGGGAGCAGCCGGGATTGAACCTGCGCCGCGGCAGCCTCGCAACCCAGCGCTCAACCGCTGCGCCACCGGGGAGGCCCTATTTCAAATGTTTAAAGCTAATGTTGTATGAAAAGCCACAGTTTTAAAAGAAAAGAGGTACTGGTAATGGAGATGTGGCTGTGAGACTTGATGAAACTGTGCTTAAGGAATTCCAGTTGCTTGTTTCTCTTATAAATCATTTTCCTGATCTTTTCCAGCAAGCAGAAACTAGTCCAGAGACCAGCAGGTCTTCTGATGTTTTCACCACTCAGCATGCTCTACGTCAAGCTCAGATGTCTAAGGAGTTGGTTGAGTTGAATAAAGCCCTTGCTCTGAAAGAGGCCCTAGCCAGGAAGATGACTCAGAATGACAGCCAACTACAGCCAATTCAGTTCCAGTACCAGGTAAAACATTTCGTAGGGTACAATTTGACGTATCTGCCCTCTCTCTTTAATTCTTTAACGGAATTGAAACAAAATGGGCACAACAGTTTTGATGATGACAAGACAACATAATGTGTACGTAGTACAACTAGAGTTGTACTGTACCATTATAAGTAAAAGGATACATTCAGGTTAGGGAACCCCTAACTTTGTTCTTTTTAATCTAATACCTTACCTTATGCAATAGGTAATTAATAATTTGATAATGATATAATATGTGTGGTCCCTACTTGTTAAGAAATTTTATTTGATAACTTATGCAGGGATTCTGAGAACAGTAGATCTCTTGGTAGATAGATCTGGGTTGTTGTGTGAATTATGAAGAGCCCTAGAGTGGATATCACCTGACTTGATAAATGGCTATACTAGTGGTAGTTCTCAGTTACCCTTGCTAATTAATAGACAAATCTTTGCCTTTTAGATTACCCATAGGGTTAGCCTTGCTCCAGACCTTATTTTCCTTTGTAGTCCATTGTTTCCCATCACAGACAAAGGGGTGTTAGAGGGCTGGTAGGGGGAAGGGTGAATTGTTTTTCCCATCATGCTATAGCCTACCACCCCCAAATTCCTATACAGTGAAAATGGAAATCCCTATAGTAGTCCTGTGTTTCTTCCACCAGCTCTCCTAAGTAATTTTCACTTCTTTTTCCCCCTAGGGTAGAATTGCCTCTAAAATAATAACTGGGTTACCAGTAGAGTTTTTATTCCCTTTTTGTAATCACAGTCTCATCTAACGTTTTTAAATAAAAAATTTTATTAATGTCAAACAAATGAATATATAAAATTTTTTGGAAGTCAAATAGCACAATACTCAAAAGTAAGAGCAGTTTCTTGCCTAACACATTCTCATCTAGTCCCTAGGCTTATGCTTTGAGTTTTTTAGGCTGTTTCTTTTGACATTTGCCTCCAAGTTTTTAGATAAGAGCTTCAGATGCCTTTAGATGAGGTAATACAATTATATTAATTAAAACATTTTTATTCATTCTCTTTCCCTTGTACCACTTTTTTATATTTTTTTTAAAATTATGTTCATTGATATAAAATTAAATCTATGAAATTTGTTACTAAATATTTTTTTAAAAAAACTGTATTCATTGAGGTATGATTGATTTACAATACTGTATATGTTTTAGGGGTTTAGATTCACACCTCTACATATGACAACTCTCCCACCACCAGATCATCAATAATCCTCCACCATAGTCCGCTGAGTCCCCTCCCCGCTTCATAACCAAATTCCCCCCACCTCCTTTCTGGTAGCCTTAGTTCTGCAGTAAAATCAAGGGTTTGTTTTGGCTTAATTTTTTCTGTTCCTTTGCTTTGTAGACATTCTCAATTGACTTCCTACTATGGAAGTTGAAACTGCAGTTCTCTTATATAACCACCCATGCACCCTGCCTTACCTCTGTTTTTCAAAATGGTTGCGTCACAATTTCTGATTTAATGAATATTAAGTGTTTAAATGTTCATGATTGCGTAAAATATATTTTTCAGCTGAGCCATGTGTATAATATGATTCCATTTCCTTCTCATACAACTTTTGTATTTCCTGTTATTAATAATCTCATTTTTTCATTTACTTAATAGTCTGTGTACCTATCAACAATTTATATCCACACAACTTAACAAAATTATAAAGTTCCTCTCAATATGATCAAACATACCAGGTAATTTGTTGATCCTTTTCTTTGCTGAAGACAACCCTCCTGGAATCTTTCTCTCCTAGTTTGCTTCTCTATAGGCCTATCATCCTAATACCACCATTCTGGGAATTTGCTTCATTTCTCATTTCTGTGTTGAAGTAGTTCCAAATCATCTTCTTTCTTGGGATATACCTTTGTTTTGGTGCAGTACAATGCCAGTAGCATTTTTATTATATTTGTTAGTTTGACTGATATCAGGATTCTATGATGGATTAAATTCTACAATGAAGGGTTTATTCTATTGTCTTCTATTTCCAATGTTGCTGTTGAAAAGTCCATTACAATTCATGATTCTTTTTATTTGACCTAAATTTCTTCCCCTCTGAAAACTTTAGGGATCTTTTTTTTTTTTTTTTGTCTCCAAGTGTTATTTTAGCTCTTTCCACTCTACTTAGTCAGTTACCACTTATCTAATTATTTTCCTCTTCCAAATGTTTGTTTATATCCCTTGACTACTCTCTTCATCCTTGTTCATGTATACCCCCTTTGGGAATCATTTTATTGGGATTTTAGGAGAGAAAAAAGTTAAATGTATAGCTTAATCCTCTGTGTTAACAGTATATATAATGCAGCCCTTTTTAGGTCGAATGTATTTTGGCCTTTCCAGATAAACAAAGGATTAACAGTAAGGCTGAGAAATTATTCTTCTCTTCTTGTACTCTTGCTTAGAAACATGGAGACATGTATTCCCCCAGTGTACTTCTAACCCTATAAGAGGAGGTACTAGTAATGAGCTATAGCTATAGTTGTTATCTTGCTTTTTTACCCTTGAAATCAAATATGCTTGAACTCCCAAGCCTAAGTTAATAGGAAATAAATTCTTAACATAAAACAATACCTTTTAATCACATGTAAACCACCATCTCTCTTTTTCTAAGGAATAAAGAAAGGCAAGGTTTTTTTGTTTTAAAGAATATTTTCTCCTACCACTGTGAATCATCGTTTTTGATTAACAAAGATTACTATGAGTTATAATAGATTAAGACTCAAATATTTAAACAATTACCTTTGTGGAGTGAGACAAATATTGACTGAATGTGGTATATATGATGAAGAGGTACTATTTTTTTTTACCCATTCAGTTGGTAAATTTTTTTAAAGATTTATTTATTTATGCATACAAGAACTGGGGTATAGGCCAGAGGTGTGGGGGGTAAGAGGATTCACCAGAGACAGAGTGGGGAACAGAACAGGCGGGTTGACTGAAACACACTGCTGAGGGGAGCAGCAGGCAAATCAGGAGAGGTCTGCTGCACCATGTGGGCAGCTCCCTGGCCAGGGATCGATCTTTCATGCTGCAGACAGCATCATAGATTGCGTCCAAACCCCTTGCGCCACCAGGGAGGCCTAGTTGGTAAAATTTGGAAGTATGGCAATATCAAATGTTGACAAGAGTTCAGGGAAACAAGCACTCTCATACATAGCTAGCAAGAGTGTAAATTGTAATAACTACTTTGGAGGACAATTTAGTAGTATCTATTAAAATTAAAAGTGTGTACCTCTTTCCCTATAATTTTACCTCTATCTGCCATAGGAAAACCTTTCACATATGCACAGAAAGCAGTAAAGAACATTTCATTGTGAGAAATAAATAAGAATGAAGTAGCTCTATATGCACTGATATCAATAAATCTCTAAGGCCGATTAAGTTAAAAAAAAAAAAAGGGCAAGTTATGGAACGATATTTACAAATAATGTGAATACATTTTTATCTTTAATATTTTATTTTTTTTTTTCTTTATTTTTTTTCTTCTCTTTTTTTTTCTTTAATATTTTAATGTGTCAACACATATACCTATGTGCATGTTGAATGTATATATTATTATATTTTATTGTACATATAGATGTTTTTGTCACAAATATTTATTATATTAATTTTCTATTCTAGTCATTTTCATATTTGTGTAAATGTCTAGAATATGTAAATGTCCAAATGTGTAATGTGAAAATGTTAGGAAGATCTGAACCAAAATGATAACTGTGGCACTTCCAGAGAGGGGACTGGAATTTTGGCAGTGGTGGGTAATCAAGGGAACTTGCTTTTTATACATAGTACCTGGATTATTTTTTATAATGTTTTCATGTATTCTATAAATTATACAATATTACTGGGCCAGTTTAAACATGCAGGTTAACTACAAAGCCATCAGATTGCTTTGCATTGATTATACAAAAGTTGCTCGTTATATTGCTTGAAAAACATATTCTTGGCTGTTTAGAAAGCTTTTCTAACCTGCCTCAGAATCTTTGTGTTACTTCAGTTTTTCTGGTCTAAGGCCTATATATATCTTTTTGGCTGCCAAACACTAATTTAGCATGTTTAATCTTTTTTGGTTATAAGAAAAGCAAAGAATCTGTTCATTGGGTTTTTCCAATCTTGAAAACTACCAAACCACAGTTTCTAGAATGTATTTCCTAAATGCATATAGAACTACAGTTGCTATCAAATACATCTGTTTGAAACTTCTAAATATAAGACTGCTTGTGAAGCTCTTTACAGTTTGCAAAATGTCTTTACTTTTTAAATTTTATTTGATCTTTCCAATAACCCTGTGAGGTAGGTAACAATGGTAATTGTTTACATAGATAAAGAAACTCTTGGGGATCACCCCCAGGTCCAGTGATTTACCAGAGTCAGCATATCATACAGCTCCAATTTATGACACTGAAATGATACAAAGCAAAATCAGCAAGTAAACCAGTGCATTGGGCAAAGTCTGAAGGAAACCAGGTGTAAGTTTGCAGGAGTCTTCTTCCAGCAAAGTTACATGATATATACCAGAGGCAGCAATGGGTTGTGACAGCATAAGTGACATGTCTATCAATCAGGGAGCCTCCTTAATCCAAGGAGTGCAGGGTTTTTACCAGGGGTCATTCATGTAGACATTTTTTCTGTATTGCACAGACCAAAGTTCTAGACACCTTGAGGAAAAGGCAGGTATTCAGGATATATTGTTTGCACAGTATAGGCAGAGTGAGCCACTATAATTAGAGAGTGGTGGAACTCCTACCAGAATCCAAGTTCCCGGACGTAAGTAAATGGGCAAACCTTGTAAGCTGCCTTTTTTAAGAATAGTAGTCTTAGACCTGCTATATTAACTCTTCTGTACAGAAACAAAGGTTAAAAGAGATAAAAGTGATTTTTCTTGGTCCTCCCCGGTGGCGCAGCGGTTGAGCACTGGGTTGCGAAGCTGCCCGCGGCCTCTGCGGCGCCGGTTTGATCCCCAGCTGCTCCCCGGCCACCAGAGGAGGGTCCCACATGGCGTGCAGACCTCTCCTGCCCGCTGCTCCCCTCAGCAGTGTACTTCGGTGCTTCTGCCTGCTCTGCTCCTTGCTCTGGCTCTGGTGAATTCTCTCACCCTCCCGCACTTCTGACTGTACCCAGTGCATGTATAAAAAAACAAACAAACAAACAAATAAATAAATAAATAAATAAAAACATGCCTTAATTAAAAAAAAAAGTGATTTTTCTTAAGATAGATAGTAATTGCTGGTCTCAGGATTCAAAGCCAAGCCTTTGGATTCCAAGTTCATACTTTTAAACCACTACCTAACTTTACTCTCCATCAAATCAAGTACAAATGTTTTTAGTGGTAAAATTGAAAGCATTGTTCCTGAATATGCAGAATTGATTTTCTTCTTGTGTCTTGTCTTTTCTTTCTCTCTGACCAATAATATTTGTAGGATAACATAAAAAATCTAGAATTGGAAGTTATCAATCTGCAAAAGGAAAAGGAAGAATTGGTTCTTGAACTTCAGACAGCAAAGAAGGATGTCAACCAAGCCAAGTAAGAATACACTCAGTAAATATTCTTTTAATGTCCTGCTATGTGAGGAACTATAGAGGGAATAGAGAGTAAAAAACCCATTTCATGCCCTCTCAGGATTTATGTCCTGAGATCCAAAAAAAAAGAAAAGTAATTGTGATTTTAAATAACATCTCTTGTCTCATGATGACAATAAAAGATTGCTATCACACAGCTTACGATTACTAGCCAAATAAATTTCTTTTAGAAACTTCAGGAGATATCAGTTCTTAGTCAAGGAAAAAGTTAGCATTTGAACACGATTTTGAAAGATTATCTATTTGACCTACCAGTTAGCAACAGATTCTTTGTCGCTGTAGTTATGGTAAATTAGCTTTTGAATAGAATTAATGTTCAGGCTAGCAACTGAAAAATCAATCTAGCCATCCTTGAGTCATAAACCAACATAGATATTCAGAATAGCCTACTATGCCTTAGAGATCTACATTCTTTTTTACTTGGTAACTCTGTTGTATCTCTATTGAGTCTAAAACTCATATTCTTAGGAGCTGTAGTAAATGTTTACTTTCTAGCTCAGGCTTGTGTAATAATTATAATTATTCCTTACAGCTAATGTGAAGTAAAATGCCTTCAAAAAACCATCCTTTTGACATAGAGTGATTGGGGATTAGTGTATGAAGCAATTGCATTATTACGTATTCAAAAAATTTGTTTTGTTCCTTGTATTAAGCCCCCATTATTGATACAACTGTGGTTGCTTGGGTGGTATTCATTATTTAAAGATGGCTATGTGACTGGTCACCCATTATAATATATGTGAAACTAGTAGTCTAATATTATGTCTTTTAAAGTTAGGCTTGTTGCTGGTAGTTTTCATTCCCACAACATCTGGTTTAGGTTGAGTGAACGTCGTCGCAAACGTCTTCAGGAGCTAGAGGGTCAAATAACTGATCTGAAGAAAAAACTGAATGAACAGTCCAAACTTCTGAAGCTGAAAGAATCCACAGAGCATACTGTCTCCAAACTGAACCAGGAGATACGGGTAATAAACACTCATCCTTGCATTTACTCAACTGATATTTATAAACACCAGTGTTCCACTTAGAATTATACTACAGAAAAGCTTTCAGGTGAGCAAGTAGCAGGCAGAGTCATCATTTCAAGTGTGTGAATCTCCATTATTGTCTCTTTTGCAGAACATTGTGTTGGTAGTCATCTGGAATCTAAATAGCAAAACCCCACTTTAACATCCAGAGTTTAATGTTAGATTTTTCTGAAACCAAAAAGTATAAACACCTTACTATTTAGTGGTGATATCCTGACCACCTTCCATGATCATGTGAAATAATTTCATAGAGTTGTTGCAAGATGACAGACATCTAGAGAAAATTTTCAGTTATTGAATGTTCAATTCTGACATCTATCAATACAAAGTGGCAATTACAGGCTACTTTTAGTAAAACCTTTAGAATGTATTTGTCCTTGAGGCTTAGTAGGTGTTTCCCTGAAATTTTATTTCTTCAGGGTGTTCATCTGGGTAGTCTATGTGGAAACCTCATACAAATATAGCAAGAAGCATTGCAGAAAATCTGTTGTGACTTTCTCTTCTTAGCTATGGGTTTTCTCTCTTCTTAATGATTAGTTTATCCATTTTCACATAAGCCTAAAATAAATGCAAATGACTAATTATTGTACTGGTTTTGGTTTTTACAGGTGATGAAAAGCCAGCGGGTACAGTTAATGCGTCAGATGAAAGAGGATGCTGAGAAGTTTAGACAGTGGAAGCAACAAAAAGACAAAGAAGTAATTCAGTTAAAAGAACGAGTAAGTAACTATAACTTCTCAAAGGCCTACCTAAAAACTCAGTCTCTGGGCTGACTAACATTAAAACTTCTAATAACTGTTATCTTCAAAAATGTGACATATTCATTAACTAAAAAGCTATTTATTAAATGTCTACTTTGCACTAGATATCTTGGGAATTAGAAAGAAAGTAACATGAACCCTGCCCTTAAAGAATGTTTTGTCCAAAGGAAAGGTAAGACTTAAGCATGATTTTCTATAGTACAAAGATTAAGGACATTTGGGCTTTACAAATGCTATAAAATACCAAAGTAATTAAGAAAGGGAAGCACAATTTCAGTTGGAGTGACAAGATGATAGCTGAACAGGCCTTGAATGATAGGGATGACAGTAATAGAGATAAGAGCAGCCATTCTAAATAGATGGAATGTCAGGAAAAAGACAGGTAATGACAGCACTCTGTGTATTCAAGGGATGGCAGTTGGTCTAGGTGGGATGAAGAATAGTAGTGACTTTTACTGGAAATCTGCTGAAGCTGAAGCTTGTTTGTTAAAAAAAAATTCTGAAAGCTTGAACTTTATTATATTTATTAATGTAAAAGATTTTTTTTTTTGTTTTTTTTTAAAGATTTATTTATTTATACAAGAACCGGGGTACAAGCCAGATGCGTGGGAGGGTAAGAGGATTCACCAGAGACAGAGTGGGGACAGAACAGGCAGACTGTCGAAATACACTGCTGAGGAGAGCAGCAGGCGAGTCAGGAGCGGTCTGCTTTGCCATGTGGGATTCTCGCAGGCTCGCCGAGATTGAACCTGCGCTGAGGAGGCTGCAGACAGCTTCACAGCGAGGCGCTCAACCGCCTGCGCCACCAGGGGAGGCCCAATAATATAAATATTTTTAAGGTTTTCTGAGAAATAAAATGATATCAGTAGTCCAAAGTACTGCTTCAGAAAATATATCTGGGAATAATGTGTAGAACAAAATACAACATTGAGAAACTGAAAGCCAGAACACAAGTAGATAATGCATAATTCAGAAAGATATTAAGGGCCTGAATTAGAGTTGTAACAGTGTTCCTGAAAAGATCATTGATTTCGGAAGTTTAGAATTTTTCAGAATGTGCTATGTTGGGTTAAGAAATAAGGAGTGAAGTACCTTCAGATGGTGGTGTGAGTTGATTTGTGAACTTTCTTCCCAACAAAGCAAGCACAACTGGTGAAATTTATAAAAACAACCAATAAAAGTCTCCAGAAATTGTCCTAAGGACATACAGAAAAGAAAGAAATGATTATTCAAGGAAATCTCAGAAAAAAAGAGGAAGAATATATGGAATTTGAACCACAACTAACTCCTTACTCTCACTCTCAAACTTCCAATCTATGAATATGGATCTTCTGTTTAATCCCCCTTAGCTGCATGGTGCTGAAGTTCTATTTCAAGCAAGAATAGCAAAGAGTTATGGGAATCCCTTCTTCCACCAGCCCCCATGTAAGGTAGAAGCTCCACCCCTGCTGCAGAAGACCAATAATACTGGTACCTAATTACCTCAACCCATCTAATCATAGGATCTAGTTTTGTGTTAGGAGAGGCAAGGCAAGAAAAACAGGCTATATGTGCCTGCCAAGCACCCTACTCATAGAACAGAGATAATACTGAAAGAAGTGGCATGCTGTTCCCATCCCTGGGTCTTGAGCAATGGCGCAGAGGTTCTGCCCAGAGGAGAGAGGCATAGAAATGCATCTTTCCATGGGGGACAGACTTCAGGGAAATTCAAATTTGTAGATGATGTCAAAAACAATGGAAATTTTGGTGGTAACAATTAAGAGAACACTCCATTAGAAAAGTAAATAAAAGAGCAGTAGAAATATTCAAAAATATAAAGACTGCAAAATCCCCAAATTTGATGAAAACATTAATCTACACATCCAAGAACCTTGACAAACTCCAAGTAGGACAAATTCAAAGGAATCTACACTCAAACATACATGAAAATGTTGAAACACAAAGACAAAAAACTTGAAGAAAGCAGCAAGAAAAAATAACTCACACAAAAGAAATCCCAATAAAATTAACAGCTGAATTTTCATCAGAAAGTATGGCAGCCAGAAGGCAGAGGGACTACATATTCGAACAGCTGAGGCCTCTTAAGTATCTTATAGATAGCAGAGATATCTTTCAAAAATTAAGACAAAGTATATTCCTAGATAAAAGTTAAGTGAATTTGTTTTTAGCAGACTTGCCTATTAAAAAATACTAAAAGTGGGGCCTCCCTTGTGGCAAAAGGGGTTAAGTCTCAGCACTATGAAGTTATCTGCAGCCCCTGCAGCACAAGTTTGATCCCTGGCCAGGTAGCTGACCCACATGGCGCAGCAGACCTCTCCTGTCTCGCCTGCTGCTCCCCTCAGCAGTGTATTTCAGTAGATCTGCCTGTTCTGTTCCCCACTGTCTCTGGTGAATCCTCTCACCTCCAGCACCTCTTCTATGTATACATAAATAAATCTTTTTTAAAAAATGCTAAAAGAACTTTTTTTGCATATGGCTTCCTGATTCTATTTTTTTCCTACTTTTTTATTTTCTTATATTGTTCATTTTTGTATAATACTTCATTTCTTCCCTCAGGTGTATTCCCCATAATTCTCCCACCACCAGAGCACACATGAACCATCACCATAGTCGTTTGTGCTCTTACCTCACCTGTGTTGACTCATTCCCTTCCCCCTCCTCTGCTTCATGCTCCAGATTTATAATTTGCCTGCAAGTTTTGTCTTTTTCCTGAGCCTTTGTTCAGTTTCCATATATTCCACCTATACATGAAACAATCTGATATTTTTCTTTTTCCTGCTGACTTATTTTGCTTAGCATAATCCCTTCCAACTCCATTCATGTTGCTACAAATGGCATGAGTTTATCTTTTTCGATGTTTATCTTTTTTGATTGCTGAGTAATATTCCATTGTGTGTATATACCACATCTTCTTGATTCTTTCATCCATTTTGGGGCATTTAGGTTGTCTCCGTATCTTAACTATTGTAAATAGTGCTGTAATAAGCATAGGAGTACAGGTTTCCTTTCCAATTAGAGTTCTTGTGTCCTTTGGGTAGATTCCTATGATTGGAATTTCTGAGTCATATGGTAGATCCATTTTTAGTTTTTTAAGAGTGCTCCACAAAGCTTTCCATAGCAGCTGGACCATTTTGCATTCCCACCAGCAATGTAAGAGGGTTCCTTTATCTCCACATCTTCACCAGCATTTGCTGTTGACAGTTTTGTTTGTTTTGTTTTGTTTTGTTTTGTTTCAGTATAGGCCATTCTCACCAGTGTGAGGTGGTAGCTCATTGAGATTTCGATTTGCATTTCTCTGATTATAAGTGATGTAGAGCATTTTTTCACATACCTGCTGGCCATTTACATCTCCTCTTTGGAGAAGTGTCTTTTTAGCTCTTCTGCCCATTTTTTTTACTGGGTTATTTACTTTGTTTTTGTTGAGTTGTGTAAGCTCTTTGTAGATCTTTGATATTGGTCCCTTATCAGTTGTATCTTGTGCAATTGTTTTCTCCCATTCGGTAGGGTGTCTCTTCATTTGATTACTGTCTCTTTTGCTGTACTGAAGATTTTTAATTTGATATAGTCCCAGCTATTTATTTTTTCCTTCATTTTCTTTGCTCCTGGAGATGAGTCTCAAAGATGTTTATGAAGTGTATGTCATGTAGTATTTTGCCTATATTTTCTTCTATATATTTTATGGTTTCAAGTCATACATTCAAGTCTTTTATCCATTTTGAGTTGGTTTTTGTATATGGTGTGAGGTAGTAGTCTAGTTCCATTCTTTTGCATGTGGTGGTCCAATTTTCCAGCACTGTTTATTGAAGAGGCTATCCTTGTTCCAGTGCATATTCTTTGCTCCCTAAAAGAACTCTTCAGACTGAAAGCAAGTCATACCAGACAGTAATTTGAATCTACACATACACACACACACACACACCCACACACCCAATAAGGGTATTGTGTAGGTAATTCTAAGAAAGATACTGAATATTACTTCACTCTCTCTTAACTGATTTAAAAAATTATATAAACAATATGTTTATATTATTGATGAGCCTATGATATATAGAAATGTAATATATTTAACAATAACATGTAAGGCCTCCCTGGTGGTGCTTGGGGCTAAGCACAGCACTATGAAGCTATTGGCAGCCACTGTAGCATGAGTTCAATCCCCGGCCAGCCAGGGAGCTACCCACATGGCGCAGCAGACCTCTCCTGTCTCGCCCACTGCTCTCCTCAGCAGTGTATTTCAGTAGATCTGCCTGTTCTGTTCCCCACTCTGTCTCTGGCAAATCCTCTCATCCCCCCAACACGTCTGGCCTGTACCCCAGTTCTTGTATGCATAAATAAATATTTAAAAATAATAACAGCATAGGGCCTCCCCGGTGGCACAGCGGTTGAGCGCTGGGTTGCAAAGCTGCCTGCAGCCTCTGCAGCGCAGGTTCGATCCCCGCCACCAGCAAGGGTCCCACATGGCACGCAGACCTCTCCTGCCACCCGCTGCTCCCCTCAGCAGTGTACTTCGGTCCTTCTGCCTGTTCTGCTCCTGCTCTGGCTCTGGTGAATTCTCTCACCCTCCCGCGCTTCTGACTATACCCAGTGCTTGTATGTATGTATGTATGTATGTATGTATGTATAAATAAATAAATAAATCTTTTTTAAAAAATAAAAAAAAATAACAGCATAAAGTTGGTGACTGAGAGTAATGTTATATTTGACTAAGGAAATGACATCAAATGGCAGTGTGAATCTACAGTAATAAATGAAGAGAATCAGAAATAATAAAGAAAAGTTCTGCATATCACTGACTGGATTAAAGAATGTAGTCAAAAGGCAAGATCATCAGACTAGATTTTAAAAAGCTAGATATGCTACCTACAGAAGACACACACTATTCAAAGTTACAAATAAGTTAAAAGTAAAAGAATAAAAAGGGATATACTTGTCAAGTATCAACCATAAAAGAACTGAAG